GTTTCCGACTGGTCAAAACAGAGTCTGTTATATCCGTGCCTTTAGCACTAATGTCTTTTGTCCACTGATAACAGTAATCCTTCACCCCAGCATCACTCTCCTGATCCTCCTGGGGGATCTAAGGGGTTCCCAGGCCACAGAGGATATAATCCCTCCATTGAGTTCTGGGTTTCTTCCCACTTGGGACTTGCCCTTAAAACGTCCAATCCAAGAAAGCCTCTTAATCAGATGAACCACTACAACTCCTCCTTTCGCTGATAAGGAGCAGCACCTCTCTCTTGCGCCTGGCCACCTTATGAAGAAACCTAATTTCAGTCGCTTGTATCCAGGATCTTGTTCTTTTGGTCACAATCCAAAGCTCATGGGCAGAAGTGAGGGTTGGAACGGTGGACCAGTAAATTCAGAGCTTTACCTTTTTGGCTCAGTTCTTTATTCACCAAGACCAAAGCATTACCCTCATTACTGAGCCTGAGGCCCGAATCGGTTGATTTATCTCCTGCTTCAATGTTTCATAACTCGTTACTTGAACTCCTTCATCTGAAGCAATACTTTGATTCTTGAGGAAAAACATTTTTTGGTCATCTTTTCATTATCATAAATCATCCCTACAGGTGGAGAAGTGGTGGCAGCTTTAATTCGATTTATTTCACTTTTTAAATAACCTAAATGACCTAATTTCCCTCTGGGATCCATAAAGTAGGCCTATTTTTGAATTGAATTAAATTTGAATTGAATAAGCAGAAGAAACTATTTCAGGTTATTAACGTATGAAGGTCTTATTTTGAAAAGCCATACGGAAAAACTAGGAYGTCATGGTGAACTCGACATCTGCTGTTCACACAGAGAGGAGGAGGAGGAGGGAGGCAGCGGGGATACAGTAACCTGCCACAGGGACTCACATGGTCTTGCCGCAGCGGAGCACAAACCTCAGGGACTCTCCTAACCTCTGACGCTCTGCTACTTTTTCTACATTTCCACTTCTCACGTTTTTATTTTTTTTTAGGTTTTCATCTTAAAGAGTTACATTTCTTCATCCTTCCACACTCCCGCAGCCCAGAGTGTCGGCCAGACTCGGGCCGGTGAAGCAGCGAACATGGCTCGGGAGAACGGAGACACCGGCAGCGGGCAGACGTGGAAGAAACACATCGACGACATCAAGACGATCTTCGACTTCAAAGAACTCCTCGGAACGTGAGTGGCACGCACGCGCCCTTTGACCGAGCTCACGCGAACAAAAGCCTCGTCCTTTTTGAATGTTCCAGTGTGCACACCTGGTGTCTGTTTACAGTTCAGAGTTTACAAACTAGAGTGTRATTAACATCGCRCACCTGTTCTTTGTTCTCATTAGCATCAATAACGCGCGTTATCTGTGGGTTAGTCAAAAATAACTAACTAAAAAGTAAAAATTTACACTGTAACATAGGATGCTATAAGGAAACTGTGGAAATTAAGTCTCATTTGCACAAAAAATGGATGACAGTGTAAAGCTGTGTTTGAGGTAGGTGTAAAATTTACACGACAATAGTTCAATCTTACGCATCWAATTCACAAAATTTAATATCAAAACAGTTTTGGAAATTTTACAGCGCTCATCCTTATCTAAGCATTTGTACGTGTTCAACTTCTGGCATTCAAAAGTGGKTGCTGCAGCACTCTATGCACCCGTACTTCCAGTAGCTTTGATTTTACAGTGTTTTCTGTGGATATCAAGCTTGTTAAGTCTTGTTAGGAATACGTCATGTGTTGTCGAGACTTTTTAAAAGGGCTGTACCTTTTTATTAAAAAAGGGGTGTGTGTGTGTGTGTGTGTGTGT